GACAAAAAATGCAGTTTTGTGAACACAAAAACTCATTCAAGTTTATAGGTACAAAAATGCCTGTCCTGCATGGCGCCCCGTAGTTCGTGCATTGGTTTGTTTGAAGTGGCACATTATACGATGTTAGTGCTATAAGATCAGGGCTTGAAAGACTTATTCACACAAAGCTAGAACTATGTGGCTGTTTGAATAATTGAGTGTATTGCTCCCATTTGAGTCCTACTACACCCACTGCGAATGAAGGGTACCACGTTGAAGGGTACGATTTTTCACAACTGAATTAAAGTCACGGCTGGTTTTCAGTTTAGTCATGTTGTTAATTCGTCACCATTGTAACTTCATGTAATTTCATCTCCACATGTCGTTGCAGCCGAGTGCACATCACGAAGACAACCATGGAATTTCTACACGGAGAGTACGAGTTGGAGCCAGGTAACGGAGGCTGCAGGAACAGCTACCTGCGCGAGCACAGCATCGAATCCTACCTCATCATCCCGCCGCTCAAAAGACGGGTACGTTGACAGTGCCCGCATACCAACATGTTCTGCTTGCATCTATGACACATACGACATACGCATATACACTCTCCTATGACACTATTTGTCATAGGAAGATTCTTGCTATGACAATTTGGCTATTGGCTAGTCAACTTCGTTCTGCTTTACAGCTGAAATTCACTGCTTGCGTTCATAATATTGTTGTATTGTAGGGCTGCATGCTAATTAACCAGGGGCGCTTCTAGCCCGACGAGGCGTGCGGCTAATTACGCTCCTCGACATTATTGTAATAACATTAAACTCCGTGGGTCGTATAATATACGACCCACGGAGTCTTATGTTACCTGGCTCCAACTCGTACTCTCCGTATATTATATATTCGCAACCCCACCTAAAACCAGCGGGTAATCGAAGAAACTGGTTTAATAGGGCGTTCGGGCAGTTTTAGAATCAGTGTAAATAGACACGGACATACAGAGGAGAAACAATTAGATTTAGTTATTACATGGACAGTTACTATGTGATGGTGCCCTCACACCATAGCGATCACCAGTTGCGTATGGTTGCGAATAAAAAATAGTGGGCATAAGTTCCGAACGCAACTCACACGCAACTAATAGGTTTTATAGGTTTGAAGTACGCAACAAGCACGCAGGTGATCGCAGACACACGCAGAGTAAGTTCAGAAATTTTGAACATGTTCAATAATTCTCTGCAAATGCCTGCGATCAATTTATACGCAACAGGGACGCAACAGGTACGCTATGCACGGTACACGATCGCAACACGATCGCAACACGTACGCAACTTATAAGTTATGAACGCAGGTGATCGCAGGTCCAAATTTGAGGTATCTGGCCAGGTTTTGGTATCGTACATGTTGCGAATGTGTTGCGTACCTGTTGCGATCATGTTGCGATCGTGTTGCGTGTCTGTTGCGATCCTGTTGCGTACCCCCAACCTATTGTGCGTATTCCCAGCGTATCCCCAACCTATGCCCTGCGTATCCAACCTATTAGTTGCGTGTGAGTTGCGTGTTAGTTGCGTACTACATGCGTGTTGAGAAATGGTATAAATAGTGGGCCTTTCCTAGATCGGTGTCAGTTGTTGGTGGACCTCCGAGGTGACAACATGGAGCTACCTCTTGCTGTTATTGGACATCAGTTTAATCTGGTCAATTTAGCACTCCAACACATACAGAATAGAATAAACAGAAGGGGGAGAAGAAGAAGAAAAAGAAGAAGAAGAAAAAGAAGAAGAAGAAGAGGAGTCTGGGTTAGACCATGGATTAGCATATTCGCAACTAGCACGCAACTAGCACGCAGGTGCAACGCAACTTGTAAGTTTTGAACGAAACTCAAACGAAACTCGTAAGTTCTGCACGCAACTCACACGCAACTCGCACGCAACTCGTACGCAGGTGATCGCAGATATTTGGGGATCATAAGTTCAGTTCGCAACCCACACGCAACCCACACGCAACCCACACGCAACTCACACGCAACCCATAGGTTGAATGGGTTAGAAATTGACAAAATTCTTGATTTGGGTTGCGTTTGGTGCGTATAAAAATATTTTTTACACGCAACTCATAGGTTTCAGCATACGCTATGGTGTGAGGGCACCATAATATGTAGAGAACGGAAGACGAGACTCGGGACCTAGGCATGGGTACCTTAACTGCTAGCAGAGCAGGCTGCGCATACACGGCTGTGATATGCAAGATTGCGACGACAAAGATTTTGCGAGCTCGACACAAACATTTTCATCATGCCGCGTGACCGCAACGAAACCACACCGAACCGACTTCTGCACTACACGCTAAATTATACTCTAGTATATCACACGCCGCACGACTACAAGCTAAACAGGAACCGGTAATAATTCATCCGTGTGGGGACTGAATAATTATTACCGGTTCCTGTGTGTAGGGCTACAGGATAAGGCAACGGAACGACGAAGTCAATAAAGTAGGATCGGTATGCAATAGTGCGCATATTGACGAATACGATGCCCGTGTACGTCATCGATTCACTGCGTTTGCGTCACAGCTCATCCTGCGACATCCGCATGACTATAAAAAATTGTTTCTTTCGCGATTAAAACAGGCAGTACAATCTTCTAAACGAAGGCACGCATCCACTGCGCTGTGGCCGTGACAGCGGTTGTGAGTTGTTGCGCATGACCGTCGCGTAGGCAATCACGCCGGAGAGCTATAGTCGATATGGGGGGAGCTGGGTGGGAGAGGCGGCGGCAGTCGGAACATCGGACGAGCTATGCTGGAAAATGCGGGGGACGTAGACACTAGACAGCCATTTTCTCTGCGGATCAATAGCCGTACCGACGACGTCACTCCTGGTATTGTGTATGCGACTTTCTCTCTCTCTCTTTCTCTCTCTCTCTCTCTCTCTCTCTCTCTCGCTCTCGCTCTCTCTCTCTCTCTCTCTCTCTCTCTCCCCTACACACACACGCAC